TATATATTTACTTATTATTTTTGGGATAAGGAGTAGGATTTAGAATCGCCTGTTCTTCAGTAGTGGGTTTTTATCAGTTTCTGAAAAGAAAAACCCCCACAGTTATATATTTTTTTTGATATCTTGCATTTATATGGTAATGTGACAAATAAAATATCCTCTCCCTCCCCCCCACTTTTCAAGAGCCACTATTTTCGGCATCTTAAAGTGAAATGCTGTGGCTTTTGCTATCAAAATGGTGTAGATTAGTCTATTTTTATTAGCTTTTGCATATTCATACTCTTCAAGTTGAAATTTAAGGCATTTTTACTTGCTGATCTGAGTATCTAAACTTGCTTCTCTTCATGAGGATGACTTCAGAAAACACACGTAGTATTCAATATTCTGATCTGCTTATCTTTACAGGCTAAGCATTAAATAAGCGTAGTTTAACTTTCTTTAAAGTTTTCTGGAAAAGCTTTTCTCTTTTACTTCTCATTTTAATAAGCTTATTCCTTCATTTCTTAAAAATAGACGCTAGCATATGGTGATATGAACCACGAGTGGATTGGCAACGAATGGCTCCCTAGTCTGGGGCTCCCTCAGTATCGCAGCTATTTCATGGAATGTCTTGTTGACGCTCGAATGCTGGATCACTTAACTAAAAAAGATCTGCGTGGGCAGCTGAAAATGGTGGATAGCTTTCACAGGTCAGTAGGTTTAAATTGGTGGCCTAACTTACAGTAAATGTTTCCCTTATCTCTAAATGTTTTCTTTGTTTCCTTTTCTAAACAGAAACAGTTTTCAGTGTGGAATTATGTGCCTACGAAGACTGAATTATGATCGGAAAGAACTTGAAAGGAAAAGAGAAGAAAGCCAGAAGGAAATTAAGGGTTAGTGCATTGTCTTGGCCTTGGTCTGATTGTAATGTGTTTTCACTGGTCTGCTTCAAAAATCTGTTTAGAAAATATCAAGCGCTAAACACAGGAGATGGGTCTGGATGCAGGCCCCAAACACTGGATCATGAAACACGTCGCTAAATCCATCACTTGTGCAGAGATGTGCTACAAATGCAGGCATTTTTGAAACTCTCTCTGCTCTGAAGCTTGAAACAAAACTAAACGTTTTCAGAGGATGAGGGCTTTGAAAATGCTTTTGTTGTTTTTCTTTTTGTGTGTTTTTTGGGATCTTTTTTTTTCCCCTCACCTGCTCTCACATAATAACTTTCCATCTACATAATTTTTACCTCTGCTTATGGCTGGTAATTTCTATTACCCAGCACTTGGAAAAAATACTGAGGTGATGAAGGTGTTTATATCTTCCAGATTCAGGGTGATTATTGAACAAGGCAGAATGAAGAAGGAAAAGCAGGGTGGGGATTCACAGTATTTTCTAAGACTTCCCATAGAAATTTTGTCCCTTTCCAAATATCAGCATTCTTGTGCCCTCTCTTCCCCTTTCCTGTTATGTTGGTACATTTTGGTGGTTATTCTGCTAATTGTGCCTGAGAACATTGCCAAGAGTCACAACTAACTGGCATGAAACAAACCCGTGTTGTGGCTGGTAGGCCTTTTTTAGCCTCCTGAACAGACTGTGTTTGTTGCCTATAGGGAACTGCTCCTTGGAACACGTAACTCTTAAATTCCTCCTGGGAATTGTTTGGGGAAAATGCTAGTTGACACAAGCCAGAAACATGCTGAGGATCATTATAACAGTTCAGCTGGTATAGACATTCTGGAGTAGTGTAAAAAACCCTACTTGTAAGGACGTATCTTTTGTTTGACATTTGGACTGAACCTGTAAATGCTGCTTTGTAATGTTTTATCCTTTAAAAATCTCAAAAGATGAGAGTATAATGATTGCTGAACTGTTACAGTATGAAATGCCTTCCAGCACACTTCCGATATATTTAGTCATCACTTTTAATTTATGATTGTGGAAAAGTGTAGTAGTGCATTACTAAATTGACCACCTTCAGAACTTAAAGGTAGATAAGATTATAAAACTAATAAATAATAAAGCTTTAAACAGTAATAACTAAAGCTGTTCAAATCCAGTAGGAACTGCATGAGAAACTGCTGTAAGATTTCTCTTTTGAGCAGTGAAGTTTTTAACTGCTTTGGGTGACATCCAAGTCCCTAAGTGGCTGTATAAAACAGAAGATCCTGTGTTCACCATCTGTGTGAATGTTATGCCCAGCTGAACCTCTCTAACTGCGACTAGCCTCTGTCAAGGCAGAGGAGATTGAGTGAGGACTACTCCTTCTGGGTGCAAGGAAAACTACTGTATGGAAAGAATCGTAGAATGGCTTGTGTTGGAATGGACCTTTAAAGCTCATCCAGCTCCATCCCCCTGCCACAGGCAGAGATACCTTCCACTAGGCCAGGTTGCTCCAAGCCCCATCCAACCTGACCAGGGATGGGGCAACCACAGCTTCTCTGGGCACCCTGTGCCAGCACCTCACCACCCTCATAGTGAAGAATTTTTTCCTAATATCTAATCTGAATCTTCTCTCTTTTAGCTTATATCCATTCCCCTTGTCCTATCACTGTTTGCCCTTGTAAAAAGCCCCTCTCCAGAGTTCTTGTAGGCCCCCTTTAGGTATTGGAAGACTTCTTTAAGGATCTAACACTGAGTTGTGGAGTCTAAGCATGAAGTTTTGTTGCCAATTCAAAGCATTTCATGCACACCAAAAAGGCAGGGACAGATTAGATCACAACATAATTAAACAACAAAATTCCTTGAGGGCTACTACTTAACAGCATTTATAATGAATTGGTATATGTGAAAATGAATCCCAGCACAAGTATTGCAGATCAAGAAAGGACTGTGGTTTTTGTTCAGAAAAGTTGTATTATAAATCAGGCAACTTTTTTTTCCTCTTTATAGATGTCCTTGTCTGGAGCAATGAAAGAATGATCCATTGGGTGGTGTCCATTGGTCTTAAAGAATACGCAAACAACCTGGTAGAGAGTGGAGTTCATGGTGCACTTGTGGCCTTAGATGAATCATTTGATTACAATGCATTAGCTCTCCTTTTGCAAATACCCACTCAAAACACACAGGTAAGCAGGAAGTAGTTACTTCATTGCTGATAAGATTTTTGTCCTCTCTCTGAGGTTAAAAATGAAACTGAATGGGGTTTTTTGGTTAGCTGAGGGCATGTCTTTCTATTCCCAGATCTAGAAGCTTTAGAAATGGAAAGTTGTCCATTATCCTGTTAGATAAAAACAAAGGACTGTGCTTTTCTTACTGTTTTCTAAGTGTTAATAGCAATTCTGGTTGATAAATTTTCTTGAACAGAAGATACTGGTTGAGTATTTTCCTCGTAACCCATGTTCACGTTAGCATAAAACTTATTTTTGTTGTTTGCTATTTTTTATTCTGAAATAATGAAGTTTGAGCCAGGAATCATGAACTTTGTCACAACTAAGGAAGGTAAAGATCTGTTTAAGCCTTCCTTAAATTTTTAATAAGTTACAAATTAAATCGTAACTTTTCAAGCACTAAGTATGTTTGTTAAACTGATAAGGTATTAAACAATGTGGGTTGTAGTAAGTTCTAAGAATTACTATCGGTTACTAATTACTAGTCTTTTGGAATTGATTTCTATTTCTTTTGTACTTACAAACTTTAGGCTCGTGCTGTTCTGGAGAGGGAATTTAATAACCTTCTTGCTATGGGCACTGACAGAAGACTTGATGAAGTAAGTTACTTGAGCTGTTGACCCATTTTATGGTCTTGAGATCTTTATCAGAACTGCTAAGTGAAAGAATTCAGCTTGAACCTCTTTAAGCTATTGACAGAATAGGGACAGAAACCTTAACTTGAAATTGTTTGTCTTCGAGAGTTTCTGAATGTGGCAGGTTTTGTGTATTTTTAGGTAAGATGACTTTGAACACGACAGTATTGAGATGATTTGCAAGTTTGCTTCTGTGGTTAATACCTAATAGCAGCACTTGGCTGAATCCTCTTTTCTATCTAAAATGTGAGAAAATTAGTGACCAGTGTTGCAGATGGACAAGCTATAACAAACTAGGTGTGAGACTTTTCTAGACCCTGTGAACCCATAGCATAAAGGAGAGAGTATTACATCTTTAACCTTCTCAGTTGCTTGATGCTGTAACTCTGTGAACAGTTTCAAGCTGGCGTTACTTCCCTAAGAGAAACCCTAACTCTGTGCTGCCTCTCCTCTAGTTCTGATGTACTACTGTGAGTTTATGTGGTAGCACATACAGGTTGAAGTGGTTTCAGATTAAGACTAAGTGGCAAAACCCTAATGGGGCTAACCAGATCAGGGAACCAGTCCGTGTATTTCAAACATATGTGCTAGTATGAGGAAGAGGATGGGAAGAGTGAAAGTGCTGGCACGAATGGCTTTTAGATCAAGTGAGGCGAAGCATACTCCAGTATGTTGAGGAAGGAGGCTGCTAGGACAGACCTTGATTGGTTTTGTGTTCATCTTTTGCCAAATGGATTCGTTGTTGGCCTTCTGTAGCACCTCCTGACAGCTCTGTTCTCAGCATGCATCTCTACTTTAGTGGAGATGTAGCTTTTAGTAACATCATCAGAAAGCAGCTTAATAGTTTTCTAAGGTATTTTTCCATAAGTGATTTCAAACTGCAAGAGAAGGAGCTGTGAGGGAACAGATGTTTGCTCTGCTCTAGTGTCACAGGGCAGTTTGATCACAGCGATCCCTTCAAATAATGTGGATACTTGTCTCCTTTATCTAAAAGGGGATAAATTTTGGGTAAAACGGCATTCAAAGGATTGAACTGTTTCTAAAGGTGAAGTTGGCAAATGGAGATGCACGATGGGTATATTTGTATTGACACAATACCTTCACTACAGAAGTAATTTTTGGAAGTGGGACTTAAACTGTTCTATTTAGTAAGTTCTCTATTATATTTCTGATGTGGAATATTACTTCAAAGATGCAGAAGCATTAATGGGCAGAAAAATGCACATGGGTAATTCCATTTTAAGTTTACCCAAGTGCTTAAGCAAACGACTTCACAGCAATATATTTATTGTGCTTCCTTATTTCCCCCCCTCACTATCACTTCCTGTAATCTGTGGCATGAGAAAGCACAATAGTGGTATCATCATTCCTGCAAGTCAGAATCGAAGGTTAAAAGCATTGTTCAAATTAAGCCTCTATTTGTTAGTGTTCCCAGAGCAGCTTTTATGATCTGCTCAACCCCTCATATCCCCAAAGACTGAGTGATGTGACACTTAGGAATTACTGCAAATCATGAAATGCAAACATTTGAAGTACAAAACGTTTTCCTCAGTGTGCTGGGCCCATGAATTTCTATAGTTACTGAGCTGAAGAGCCAGCACTCTAGCAAATGAACAGAGATTGGTGCAAATTAAGACCTCTGCTGCTGTTGCACCTGAACTGTGCTTCACATGGAATTCGTTCACTGGAGATACAGTTAGTTAAGATTGTCAGTAATCCTTTTAATGTCAGTAACAATCCTGCTTTTTTGAATCGCTAATGATGTTTATCAATGTAACAGGATGATGATAAGAGCTTTAGGAGAGCACCTTCATGGAGAAAGAAGTTTAGACCAAAGGACATAAGAGGTTTAGCTGCTGGATCAGCAGAGACTCTTCCTGCAAATTTCAGAGTTACAACCTCAATGTCTTCACCCTCTATGCAGCCAAAGAAGATGCAGATTGATGGTATTGATTTTGTATTATTTTAAGCATGATGCATTTTTTTGCTTGAGATTACAGGGGAATTAAGTTCAAATTACCATTTTGCTGCATAAAAGCATCTGCCTTGTGCATGGTTGTATATATAACACTGTTTTTAACCACAGGGTGCTTTATCATTTCAGGAAGTTGTACTAAATGTGGAGTTTCTTTTTTACTTCATTGGAGTAATAAAATGAGAGTTATAGTTAAAAATAAATTTATTTTAAGCTAGGAAAGTAAAATGACATTTTAGTAGAAGTCTTTTAGTCATGTGATTTGTAGTTTCCTAAGTAGCAGCAATTAGACTAATCTAAGTCCTACTTCTGAAATGCAGTAAAATGCATTCAACAATGACGTGACTAAACTTCCTTGGGTAATTTTGAGGTTATTAAAACTTGAGTAAAAGTCCCCCTGCACTGGGCACTCAAGTGGTCATACTTGAAGCCACTACTTCATTCTTTGCTGTGTACTTAATGATCTATATATGTGCATGTGCACACAGAGATATGTATTGAAAAAACCCCTCCAAAAAACCCCGGTGGGAAGTGGAAGTTGATCAAGTGTCACATGAGATATCTTGTCTGTTTAAAAACAGTCTCTTTAGCACCATGAGAATAAACTTTCACATGAACTTGTTTTACAAAACACAAGTAAAAAAATAAATGGAACATGAGTTTAATTGGAACAGGCAGGGTAAGAACTTCAGCATAACCTCAGACTTGTCTTAGGGTCTGAAAACTTTATTTATGAGTATAGCTCAAAGAAGCAACCTGTGCATCTGACGTTACTCTCTAAAATGTGAGCTGTTTTAAATAAATACTATGGATAGCACAAAATATTTTCCAGAATTTGTGGAAAATGCTGTAAAATAAAAGTAGTGAAGTCTTTACCATTTAAAACCCCTTTCTTCCTATAAGATATATGAATTAAAAAAAGGCCAGAAAGAAAAACATATAAAGTAGAAAATACATCACTTTTAGAATTGCCTTTCTCAATTTCTGTGTGCTAGTTGGCATGCAGACATATTTAGAATTCTTTTTGTTAGCCTCTGAAACTAGAAGTGGTTAACATAGGAACTGTAAAATAAATCCTGCTTTTCTAACTTGTAACCTTAGAGTTGGTGAGTACCGTAACTGTAGTCACATTGCTGTGATGGGTTGTTGTTGAAAACTAACATGCATGCTGTGTTCTGCATGTCTTCCTGTGCTTCTGGAAATAGGCAGTGTATCAGGAACACAAAGATTGGATTCTGCTACAGTAAGGACCTACTCCTGTTAAAGCCTTCTCCTGGTGAGTAAAGTTGATAGGTATAAAAGCAGCTATTTATGAAATAAAATGTCAGGTACTTTAATACAGTGAATTTACACACTTCAAACTGGTTTTGAGTTTTCAACATAGATTGTTACTGGATTGAAAACTTGTAGCTTATTTTTAAGGAGAACTATGAGTGTTTAAATATTTACTTTTGTAAACATTGTATTATTTTGAGGGGTTTTTTGAACAGCTTCAGAAAGGACCCGTGATAAATGGTTATGTAGAAAATGTTGAAATCAAAGGTTGGCTGGAACAGCTTGTGAAAGTGGGGAGGAGGGAAAGGAATAAATTAGGCATATAAAGGAAAGCATTTATTGTGTGACGCTGCAGTTCAGGTTATTGATCTTTTAGAGTCTTTCCTTGGTCAGAGTTACCCCACTACAACATACTTTAATACTGAATTGTTGTAGGGCTAATTACATAGTTTTCCAGTTCTTGGATTCACTGTGGTTGCTTAGGTTCTCTGGTTAGATTTAGCTACCTGCAGCCTAAATTTGGGTAGCTGTGAGCAGTGCTGACAGTAAAAAAGGAGCTTGATAACACAAGGGTGTCATAACACAAAATACATGTATTTTGGCTTATGAAAGATATGTATTACTCCAGGATTTGATACAGCATCTCTCTGCTGTATTTTCTCATGGAACAGTTTTTCTCTCTCTGGAAACTAATTTATTTTTTTTTATACTATATTGGATTTTTTAAAAAATGAAAATCTTTCCCTCATTAGCTGGCATTTTCCATGAGCTATAAATTGTCTCTCTCTTCTGCTTACAGCTTCTTTCCTTTCCTCTCACCAGTAATATCCCTACCAGCTCATGTACTGGCTGCCTTTTCTTCAAGTTCTGAACCTTTTTGCATATATAAGTTTAGCTCTAAAGAACTCTTACGTATGAAGTGTTGAGAAGGGAAACTCTTGCACATAGCAGCTCGGATCATGTGGATCTGTCAGTTCATAATCTCATCTCAGAGGCTATCTTTTAAATTTCTTCTAGTTTCAAGACACTGAAGTTTGAAGTCTTCCCCTCCCCCAGATTCTCCCCAGTATTAGAGGATTTTCTATAGTCAGATGACCTAGGATAAAACCCGAGGAAGCAGAAATATTTGACCTCAAGTGCTTTACTTATTGCATTGCAACTGAAGACTTCAGAAGGCAATAAAACTGTATTCATCATGGCATGACAATAATTCAGTGCATGACTGCTACACTGCAGAGCTGTTTGTGACAAACCGAAATGTTTAAAAACCTGCTAATGGATTATTTCTTGTTCTTTTTGTGTGTCTTTTGTTTCTGTTTTTACAGTTTACCCACACTATTTCTACCGGTGATATGCAGCATTTTGAACATTTGGAACCCTTAACCTGTTAATACTTGTTAAATGGACACTTTGAGATATTTTATTACAGAGTTTTTAATTAGCAAATAAATTCATGAGTACTATAGAGAAAATATTTTAGAATCTAAATGTTTCTTATATTTATGTGACTTCTCATTTATATAGTTACTTACTTTTTTCTGTTTCTATTCAGTCTACAAATCAAATCATTGCTGATTTTTTTTTTTTTATTCTAAGTTTAGTCTTTCCAACTGAATGTACTGTAATGCTTGTATGTATATGTCCCTATAAGTAATATAGGGTTTTTGTAAATTATGCAGTTACTGTAATTATCATTGTTTTTTAATAATGAAACTGAAGGTGAAAAGGATTTTAATACCTTTGTAAAAGTATCATGACACCAAGCAGTATATATTTTGTCATTCTGAACTGTTAGCTTAGCTCTGAAAACAAGTCCAGCTTTTTTTCAGGTAAGCCTATGTTGTTGTTGGAGGTATGGTACATGATTGTTCTTCTTTTCAGAACTGTACCTTTCCACAAAGAGGATTTGTCAAGTAGTGGAAATTTGTCTTTATTTAAAATGTAACTTGTTTTAAAAGCTGGGAAGAACTATAACACTACAGAACACGTTTTAGAAGTGACTGACTCGGTCATAACACTCTCTGCTGTACTTGTGTAGCGTATCTTCACAGTGACTGAAGACAAGCCATAAACCAAGGACTCTTTCCTTTTATTTTTCCTTAACTGAGGAAGATAGACTTCATAATAATTCCTGGTCGTAATCCACAGGCCACAGAGAGTTTTTGTCCTAGATCTTTTTGATTTAAAACACTTGTGGAAAGATGCTCGTGACACTAGTTTGAATGGACCAATCCTTGAAGCACTGCAGTCTCATGTCAATGAGTAGTGAAAGATGAAGGTACAAGGGGCTGAAAACTAAAGCAGTGCAACTTCTAATAAAGGCCTTACTTTTCTTATGTAAGTCATCATTTGTGTTTTGTAAACTTCTAAAGAGTTGTCTGGACTCTAATTTTGATGGTTGTAGCCATTTTGGACTGTATGAGTAGAAAATGTATCCAACACTTGTAAATGGCATATTAAAAAGCCAGCAAGAATCTGTTCAGATGGTGCATTATTTATTATGCAACAGTATATATAGCATGTCTTTTATTCTTGTTTGTTTTCCACTTTTTAACTTGCTTGTAAAACTGAAATCCATTGTTACTGTTTTTTTCTATTAATCTTTTGTGTATTTTCAGATTATGTAACAATATGTACAGTCTACTTTTGAACTATTTTTATCACAGTATTATTTATTGCTTTCTTTCAATAAAGTACTGATGCATTTTCCACTGCCAATAAAACACTATTGAAAAGCTAAGATCTAATTGTATGCAGGCAGATACTTTTTCAGTGAGCGGATATTGTCAATAAAGCATCTTAATGATTGTTTGCTGCCCTGTAGATCTTGTTTCAGATGATGACTCTTCTCCAGTAGAGAAATATTCCATTAGATGTGACATTTTCTTTGGAATTGTTTAAGCTCATGTGTGTTAATCACTTTCTGAAAACCACTTTTCCAAAGAAAACTGCTCTATTGCCTACTTGTAGTTAGAGCTATGATTTACTATTAAAACTATCACACAACTTCAGTGCGTTCAGGTCCACATGATGAAGATTAAAGTACTGTTCTGTATAGCAGCAACAGTTGCTTTGTTAATAAAATTGAGATTATGACCATAGTGATACTGGGGGAGAAACATAGGAGTTAAGGGAACCGGTACAAAACTGGGTCACAATAGGGCTGCTTATGTCAATTTTAATATATTTGTAAACCATTTCTTGTATAGAAGAGAAGACCCAGAAGGATAAAGTTACAGAATAATGGAAGCAGTAGAGAAGCATATTTCTTCATGTCCTCTAGATCAACAGCAGGATGTGGAATGCATGGAATGGAGAAACATTGTGATTGATGCTTTAAACATTGTTCGATAACCATCTCTGTTTGTCTAGCTTGTCTGTATGAGTTGCTATCTGATCATTTGCAGTCTCTTTTATATTCTCAGAGAATCTATCTTTCTAGAAAAAGCTAAAATGAAACTGCAGAAGGAGATCCTGACTCACTGTAAGAAAAAGATTGCATAGACATTTCTGGTCACTGATGTGATAGTAGGTGTTCGAAGTCATGTATTGTTGCTTCTCGAGAGTGAAAACGATGCGGAATAGACTTGTAAAATGTGAAAAGAAAATATGTTTATTATTTTAAGGCTGTAAAACCTTAACTGTTATGGAACAATGGAATTGACATGAGAGCTAGAATAAATGAGTGAAATAGAAAAGCTTTCACGAACTGGCAAAACCGTGTGTTGACTTCCTTCTACATTATACAGCAACGTTTTATCTGAAGAGAAATCTGGAAAAACACTTCTGGCTCAGTTTTCATAACCTGCCCTCCCTCCTGGAAAGAAAAACATGCAAATGCATGTGTAGAAGGCATATGGGTATGTTACAGTAATGTTTAAATAAAGGTTGGTTAAATATAACTTCTTGTAAATTGCCAAATGTCTTTAGTTGGAAAGAGACCTATCAAAGTATGCATTTAATCTGCAATAAGGAGGTGGTAGAATTATCTCAACTTTAAACTTGTGATTTTTGCATGTTCAGAGGGCAGGGAATCTCAAAACAGGTGTTATAACCTACTTCATCTTTCTCCTTTCGAACTTGATGTAGAAGTAAAACACTGCTCTTGCAGCGTTCTATGGACAGTAGTGCATTCTGGCATGATAATCGTGCCACAACTCAGAGCAGAGATCATGTGAAGTAGTTCAAAGCAGAACATGAGCTTGGAACTGGGTAGGCCTAAAATTGGGAGGGAGGAGCAGCAGCATTAATTTTCAGGTAAATAAGAATTGACACTAAGTTATGTTTGAGGGGTGGTATTTTTCTTGAAACTAAAGAGTACTTATTTCACTTTCTGGTAATTCCATTTTTATGGTTGTACATCTGGTGCACTACTTAAAACCTTAAGTAATTTTTGCAAAAAAGGCAGTTGTAGTCTAATGTAGGTAGCAGCATTTTGTGGGTTTATATGGCATGGATGAGAAGTGATAGATAAATGTGGTTGGTATTTCTTCTCCTTATCAGAGGGACAGGGAGCGACTCCACAGCACCAGAGCCAGAAGGAATGAGGTTCACTGACCCAGCTTTCTCCTCTAGCAGAGTTAAGCTTACCCCAATCTTTCAAATATGCCATACTCAATTTATTGGGTAAATTACTCTATCCTTAATGTGGGAAAATACAATAATTGAGCCTATTTATACTGTGACCTGACTGCTTGGCTTTGGGTGTCTGGAGGTAGCTGAGAATTACTCACAAAGTTGTACTCCTCTCTCCAAAACTTACAGAACTGTTTGCCTCGGTGTTTTTTATCTTGCCCATTATTACTGTTTCAGTGTGTGTATTTACTAGGAATGTCAGTCCTTAGAGTCTGTTTCCCTTCCTCTAAAAGATGGGAATAAAATAGCGGGCAAACACCTCCTAAAGCGTTAAAGCTGCGCTTGAAAACCTCTTTGCTTCTCCTTTTAGCATCCGTTTAATTTAGATACCCCAAGAACAGTCAGATGTGAATCTTTTGTTCACTGACAGATCAAAATCCCTCAAGACGACGTAGTTGCAAGGATGGTGCAAAAGTAAGTGTTAATACTTAAAAAGAAACAGCCAAAACGCCCCTTTCAAGCTGTACCCCAGCTGCTGTAGCCATTTTCAGATTCCTGACGGTGCATTTCTTACGTGGTAGCGCTCGGACAAAGCGGTTTTAAGACCTATAGATTATTAGACCATATTTATAGATAAATATATAGATAATAAACATATATTCCCCTCTCTCCTCGTCTCCTTTCCCACTTCGCGGCTCC